ATCCAAGCAGGATCCCTCCCTTGCCATCTCCAGACCTCCCCACAAGCTCCCTCCCTGGTCTCCTGGCTTTTGTTCACTCCTAAGCAGCCTTCTACAGTCATCTCTGAAACGAATCTGTCACTCCTTTATCCAGCACCTTCCATGACTCCCCAGGCCTTCCAGATCAAGTGCAAGTTCTTTCACCAGATGCTTGATCCCAAGCTCCATTCTACCTCCTGAATTAAGGTCCCGGAGAAGCCCGCCTTGCTCAGCACAAGTGCATCAATGAAGTCCGAAGCCTTGAACGTGTCCTTGGCCTTGAGGAAGTCATCAACACCCTGGCTAGTGAGGGTGCGGTACCGCTCCAGGATGATGGTGTCTGAAGTTGTGCACCAAGTCAGAGGCCCTGCAGAAGCACTGCTCCTCAGGAATGAGGTAGTAAAGGAAGTCCATGCACAGGCAGATCTGCTGGTGCCATTACACTATGAGGACACTGAGCTCCAAGGTGGCGGCAATATATTCACTGGCATTCCTGCAGGGTGAGGCTGGAGAGAGGAAGTAGCTCCACGACACATATGGAACCCTGGAAGCTCTTCCCAGCCAAAATCTCTGGACCACACTACTTCCAGAAACGGGTGCCCTCTGAGCACACTTGTCTGTCTCCCACTCCGAGATCCCTCCTGGCCCCACATGCCCCAGTCTGGACCAGGACTTTGAGCCCAGCAGGTGTTCAGTCCATGGTGTTGACTGCTCCCTGGGCCAGGAGACCCCTTGGTGCCTCTGTGACTCCTCCTGTGAGACCACTGCCTCTGCCTCGGGACCTCCTGATTCCCATGGGAAGACCCCAAGGCTGTGGATTGCCCCACCTGCCCAGGGATCTTCCAACCCCATAGGCCTTACTTGATGCCTTAGCCCTCCCAGAACATGACATGCTTCTCAGAAGGTGACTTATTTCCAATGCCATCTGTGGATGTTTCCTGGGGACCTCTTCCTGCTCTCCTTTATAATCTGTAGGTCAGGGCCAAGAGAAGAAACCAGCCCAACCTCAGAATAAACAGAAGGCTCACTGCCACAAATGGCAACCGCCAGTCAGCAGTGCTTCTGGAAGGAAGGAGGCTTCATTCTGCACAAAGCTCCTTGTTTGGCTTCTTTCTGAATCCGGGGAGGGGTAGGTACAAAGTCCAGCTTACCTGTGGTGTCTGTGCCTAGGATGTACAATGGGCCCCTGTTCCCACTGCAGGGTTGACGTTCCCTCCAGCTGGAGACCTGGGCTCCTGACACCGCCTGGCCTGTTTGTCCTGC